CGGACTGGCCACTCGTCTGTTGCCAGCACTTGGAGGACAGTGTTGGATGACGCTCTCAGCATGGCATGGATCTTGAGGACGAGTTCTTGGGTCAAGGGGGCAAGGTGGCCTCGACGCAGAATATCCTTGACCATCAACTTCTTCACTTGCGACGCAGGGCTGGCGACGCCATGGTTCGAGACGGTATCGAGATGCTCGGCGAAACGGGACCACTTGCGGTCGAGGAGGACAGGAGCGTCGAGCATGGAGTCGAGGCCAAGGGCGGCAGCGACCTTGGCGCACTCCTCCCAGCTGTTGAGTGGCATGATGGCGAGGCGGTCGCCGGGCTGGAAGGTGATGCCCGTGTTGTGGAGGTCGAGAGTGACCATGGCGATCGACCGCTCGTGGTCCGAGTCGACAAAGGAACGGGTGAGGATGCGTGACTTGTAGCGGCACTCCTCGAACGTCCCGCGCATCTCATGGGGTTCGACGGGGATGTTTCCGCGGTACGGCTCCAAGCGTTCCTTCATGGCATCCGAGAATTGGCGATGGACCTCCTCCCAAGGTCTTCCCGAGTCGTCAGAGGCACCCGACGCACCGTTCGTTTCCGTGCGGCCAGTCTTGGACGCTACCTCCAAGATACCAAACACTTTATAACGGTGCGTTCCCATAAACCCACGTTCGCCCGTGTAAGCCTCGATGATGCCGTCTAAGACGCCCATGAGACGGGGATCCCCAGACTGCTTGACGTATTCGGGGATGCGGTAATGGTACTCGACAGAGGCGATGAATGCTCGTAGGTTGGAGGGAAGCCAGGCTCTCAGGTGCAGGCCTTCGTTTCCCAGGAAGGAATCGTACTTCTTGCGGCCGAGGAAGGCGTCCATGAGGAGGTACGGGGGAAACTGGAGGCCCGAGGCGGCGGGACATCTCTTGGATAGGGGCGCGGAGAACTTGCCCCATCGCACCCATTCGGCTGCAGACACGTAGTTGTCGCCCGAGTTCGGGTTGGTCGAGATGGAGTGAAAGGCGTTTGGCATTCGTTCGAGGATCTCCTTGAGTCTGATCATTTCTCGCAGGAGGCCTTCGTTGTTTCGGTTCATGACGTGTTCCTGACAGGCTGCGATGGCATCAGGGCCATGCTGGAAGGATGCTATCCAAGTGTCAGCCTGTGTATGTCTTTCAAAGAAATTTCGTACTAACCCGACGTGTCAGCGCATCCTTTCAAAAAGGCAATCTCGGTCCGCTCTCCAAACATGGGCCATCGCAAGTCTGTATTATCGAAGCGGCCGATGTAGGGGTAGATCGAAGTCGGATCCCGCACTTTGATATTGTACGAGGCCTGATCAAAAAAGGTCAAGTGCGGGATGGCGCGTCCCATGCGTCTCGAAACCTGCCAGTAGGGAAGTCCAATCGTCCTCGGGATCCCAACCAGCTCAGGCCCCAGATCGTCGCTCATCTCGACGCGGGGCTTTGTTGAAATGGAGTTGATGCTGACCCCGTCGTATCCGTCATTCTTGTCTTCGTACCGGTAGATGGAGCACAGCATGCCCAGGGCAACGATGGCTGCCCACAAGGCCTGGTCGGGAATGTTGTCCTCCGTTCCCTCGACGAGAGGCAGCGCGGCGACGGACTCGCGCACTCGTCCTCTGGAAACACAACCGGGCATCCTCTCACAGAGGTCGGACCAGACCCGTCCCGGGCTGTTGGCGAGAGCACCGGCGGCCTCGTTGGAGTCAGGCGGCTGAAAGCCGTACTCGGCGCTGAGGTAGCCGTCCTTCCACCCGGTTTGGTGCCCGATTCCCTCGGCTCGGAGGATGACTTGGCGGGCTGGCGCGCCCAGGGCCACGGCCAAGAGGTCTCTGTCATCGGCAACCAGCGTGTCGACGTTTTTGACTTGTGTAATTGTCTCCGCCGAGGGGATATCTGCGTAGATAATCTCGTTGATGGCCTTGCGCTCCCTGGCACGAAGCCACTCGTCGACATCGACACCTCGAGGGATCTGCCAGAGTCAGCTCCATATGGCCTTGCACCATCCATTACTCCTCACTCACATCGAAAGCTGCATGTAGGTCACCAGGCTGCGTGTATCCCGAGAACGAGCAACCCCTAGGCCCAACTCTCCTGCTCGCAGACTGCCCGTGATTTCCTGCAGGACATCTTCCACCACCAATGGACCCCGAAACGGGACACGATCGTTCAGACATGATTATTAGAATAAGACGCCAGGGACCTGCCTCTGGAATAGAGAGCAAGATTAGAAAGCAGAGCCACCTGGGCAAAGAGAGTGAAAAGGTGCCGTCAAGGCTAGAAAGAAGAGAAACCAAAATACACACAAAACACAAAAACACGACGGTGGTTGTAGAACACTATCGAGATGATAGCCCTAGAAGACCAACTTCATCCGACCGGCTACCGGAGACGCGCGGGAGACGGGATGACATTGATATGTACTATGTATGCAAGGCATCTCAGCTGTTCACGACCGGGGATGTAGGGGAGCTAGCGCCAACTTGGCGGTGCAGGCCCAAACATGGCATCCTGGACAGCGTGCAGCGACAGCCTCACGCTAGTGATTAACCGTATTTGAGACGTTGATGAGGTGGTTCTAGACCGGGGGGATGATGGCGGCTCCTGGCCGGTGTCAAGAGTCGAGGGAGCCCATGTGGCCGCCCGAGGAGGGGTGTGGTGGGAAGTGCCGTGGCGGTCTGGGGAAAGCCACAAGCGCAACGACAGCGCCAGGCGTGACGTGACGTTGGAAGAGAAGCAAGCGAAATTGAGTAGAAGACGCCCGTGAGGCTATTCGGGGTGGTTAGTCCATCCCTGGCTGGCGGTGGCCCTGCTCCCCTGTTTTGGGAACGTGATGAGACGACGCCAAGTGCCGCACAAGGTTGTAGGGGGCCTGTGCTGGTGGAGCCTTGAAGATGGTCTGAACTACAGATGACAGGTCCGTGGCGTTGTTGATGGACGATGGCCGGGGTTCAGTTGGACTCAGGTGGCGAGTAACATCGACCGGATGTTTGCTTCGCCTTGCGTTGGTGTTGCCTTGGCGATGGCCAGCGGTGGGAGTGAGCGCGTAGGAGGAGGAGGAGCATCGGGGTGCCTCTTCAACCTCGGGGCCGATATTGTATCTCTTGAAAGCGCAGCCATATCTCTTCACTTGAATCAGACGGTCACATTCGTGATGGCCGAGTGCAGGTTACCGCTGGCCTTTGCCCTGCCATTGGGGGCCGGACAAGTATTCTCGCGCCTTGGTTCCTGATCATCCGGTAGAGAAACGTCTACCGGACATCATCAGTCAGATCATATCACAGTCTGATCGCCAGGCATTCCACTTGAACGCCACACAAGTGGCCCAGAAATAACTTCATGGCCTCGGAGAATCGGCTTGTTTCCTTCTGTCTCTGTTCCAGGTCACCGCAGTGGACCCTCCGCATTGCTAAGAAGCCTTCTCGATCTTATCATCACGGCCCCCAAATTCCGCGGGAATGCATCCCAAAGCAAAGCCTTCCGCCGTCTTCGTCGTGACAGGCGGATCCAATGGGGCCACAACGAGCCCGGAGCATCGTGCTGCCGTGCGGAGAGAGATCTCGTAGGGGGCCATAACTGTCGGAAATCGGACGTTGGTAGGCGGTGTCTATGACAGCTACGATGAACTGCGCATTGTGATTAAGGAGAGCGCGCTCTGGGGCTCGTCCGAATATTCTTTTCTTCCTCTTCAACTTTGGCCCCCCAGGTTTCACGGCTGTGGTTGTTTCAAAGTGGTGACGTGGGCTCGAAAGGCACAGGAGCACGAAGGAAGAACTGAAGACATGGTGAGAAACAGGGGTGAACAGAAGAAGACTGGAGGGCAGGGATTGTTAAAGGGATGAGGCTCCCACTTCCCGAACCTTTTTTGCTTTAAACTTCTTTGGCACTTTTCCTTGGTGGTTTACATAAGCGCACTTCATTGGTTGGCAAGATCTACGTTGACGGGGGAGGTGTTCGTCCAGTTTCAGGGGCTCAAACTGCCACTTTGCGCCATTGCTTCAGACGAGGCGCTGGCATCTTGGCTGCCTTCAACGGTGTCACGGTCAACATGGAAGAGCAAAAGGAAAAGCGGCCACTCGGCCATGTGGAAGCAAGCCCATAGGCCCGAACGTCTTGTGCTCGTCTTCTCGAATGCTCATTGAACGGCCCGGGTTAAGCTTAGAATTATCCTTGAATAACCTAATGCAACAGACTGCTCCAAGGAATACACCTCCATCGTCCAATGATCGCGAACTCCTCCTCGCCGTCGCGGTGTTTCTGCCCCCTTTCCGGCGATCACGCTCGCGTGTCGCACCGCCAAGGAGCCTCCCGAACCTCAACTGCCGCAGGGAACTTCCCGTCAGCAACCCAAGAAATCTCTTCTTCCGTCAACCCCCCCAGCAAGCGCTCGGGTGTCGTGTGTGTGCCTGTCTCTTCCAATCTCCATGTTTTATGCTCCGCTGCTTGTTGCGGCTTGGCTTTGCAACTTCCAAGCTCCATTCCCACAACGCCTGCGACCCGCAATCCTGTTTCCCAAAAAGCTTGGTATGAAGAGCTCGGAGCAGGGCTATTTTCTGTTAGCTAATGGCATAACTTGAGAACCTTAAGCTGGCCCCGGCCAAGGGTCTGTCGCAACGTATCTGGTTTGGGGGAAATGTCCGTCCGTCCGGCCGAAGGAGAGCTGGGATGGCGTATATGACAGGTCGACCAAGTCCGAGCTGGGGATTATCGCCGCCTGGGTATAGAACATCACGTTCAATGGACGGCATCTTCCGCCGTCCAAGTCTTGGAGCATGAGCTGGCGACGTTTCTGATTGGTATCGCATGTTGCAAACAGGGCGTGTTTCTGTGTTTTTGCTGGGCGAATGGCACGAAGAGGGGACGACTTTGCAACGGCAGTGAACCCAGCTTTGCTTATGAAGCCTACCATTGAACAGCTTCGACCTGATACCAGGGAAGGGTATGGGGTAATTAAGTATCTAAATCTTGACATGTTCCTAGCCTCCGAATCCCGCTCAAAGCATACTCTCCAACGCCTTCTCGATGGTGGCGAAGCCCTTGTTGAACTCTGCCTGGACCGACTTGAGGTTCTTAATGTTCTCGGGGAACACACTGTCCCTCCACCACTCAAGCCACGCAGCAATCTCTTCGAAGCTGGCCTCCTCCAGCCCGAGCCACTCGCTCAGCTTGTCATGCCACAAAGGAAGCACCTCAGCGACAATCACCTCGCCCAGCACCTTTGGCGTCAGGATGTCAGACCACTTGAGCACGCCCTCGAGCATGGGCAGGTAGGGCTCCTGGTCGCTCGGGTCGATCCTGAAGTTCTTGCGCAGGTACCGGCCCATCGCCGGCAGCACATGGCCCAAGATGAGCGGCCGCCATTGGTCGCCGAGGACCTCGCGCCATTTTTCCAGGCCCGGGATCACGCCGCGGTCAAACTCCCACACGTCAATGAGCTGCCTGTACTTTCTCCGAACCTCCGCGACCAGCCCGGTGCCCTTGGGGTCCAGGTGGTACGAGGGGAGGTACTGGAGCCAGGGGAACAGCCAGAGGTGCGGGAGCTTGTGGCTCTGTCGCTTCTTCTTCGGGTTCCATTCCGCCACGGCTGTTTCCAGTTTGCGGACGACGCCATCGAGGAACTGGGCACGCACAAAGGGGGGCAGCAGGTCGTTCCATGCCTCAAGGACGGCCAGGAGAGGCGTCGGGTTGAAGACGTCCCAGTCGCGGATGGCTGACATGGCTCTCGTGTACCACAGCTTGTACATCATGCTCTCGTACGGCGTCGTCGCCTTTTGGTGTTGACGGTAGAGGTCAGTGTTGCTCAGGCCCGTCGAGTCCCACTTGTCCACGCTCTTGTCGCCCTCGCCCGACTTTTTGAGCAGCGATTCCAGGCCCTTCAGCTCCGTAGCAAACCGCGTGGGCTCCTCGAGCAAGTCCCAGTCGGGGTCGCGGAGGAAAGGATGTATGGCGGCCACAGCGAGATCCGCAATCTCTCCTGTCGTCGACCCAATCTGCTCAACCGCCTTATTTAGGCATTGGATGACCTCCGACCATTCCGTGGCTGCTGGAAGCTCGTTGGTGACAATGTTAGAGAATAGCTGAAGCCTGCCCAAGTCTGAAGCGAGGTCGGCCATCTCCTGTTCCCGCTCCCGGAGCTCCAAGTCCACCCATGTTTTTCGTTCTTCCAGATTCCTCCATTCTTCTGAAAAGGCCGCCAGGTCTGCGTGTGCCCGCTTTACCAGCTTCCGTGCTGCCGCCACCTCGGGAGATTCCACCACAGCCGCAGACGTCGGCGTCAACAGTCCAGAGGACGTAGTAAGTAGCTTATTACCAGGTCCCGTCATATCCAATATGGGCGCAAAGGCCTCGGGAATGTGCAGTCCAGGGGCGGATTTCCTGAGCTCCTCGGCGGTCATGTACTTTGGCTTCTGCCGCTTCGGCGTGCTGGCACTACTGTCCCCAGCGCTCGCAACCTTCTTCTTCCTCTCGCGTTTCCTCTTCTTTTCCTCCTCGTCCGAGTCGATGACGGTCTCGCCACGAAGCTTCGCTTGCCGCTTCTCTTCCTTGCGTTCGTGTTCTGACTTTTCCTTGACCGCACCCAAACCAACACCCTGCGGTCGGAGGTGCGCCTCGATAATAACGCTGCGACCTTTCCCGTCTGCTCCAAGACCCTCGCCCTCCTTGTAACCCATCTTGGCCATCATCCTTGCACCAAAGGACTTGGGGTTCGGTTTGCCCTTGGCGCCATTCGCACCGAAAGCGCTTGGCCGAGCCATCTTGGGCATCGAGGGTGTATCGGCGACGTCGGGGTTCAAGACTGGTACGTTTGCAGACGATGGCACGAAGCCTCTGCCGAGTGGGTTCTTGCCGTCGAATTTCGTTTTTGCAAAGGAATGTGCCGGTGCTGCTTCCTCGTCGTCGCTGTCCTTTTTCGAGGCAGACATGAAGCCTAAGCCTCGCTGTGCTCCACCGAATCCGAGGCCGACACCTCCATTTCCTTCATCGTCATCATCCTCGTTGTCGTCTTCGTCATCATCAGAGTACTCCTTGGCATTCGCGTCGTCGTCGTCTTGGTCGAGTGTTGTCGCGCCTGTCGAGACAAAGCTCATGCCCTTGTCCCTCAGGCTCTTCTTCTTCCACCTCCGACCGGGCCCGTCATCTTCGCTGTCTGACGCGAATATGCCTAGCGCGGCGCGCTCTTTTGTATCGCCAACGCGCCGGCGCTTGCGCGGGTTGAGGTCGCTGAAGTCATCTTGCGACGGATCGGCGACCGGCGCAAGGAAGTCATCGTCGTCCTCTTCTGATTCGGACGAGTAGTGCGCGGCGGCCTTCTTCGTCAAGCGGGAGGGGTCGAATGTTGGAAAACTGGCCATGCTGTGTAGATGCGCAGGCGGCGGCGCGAAGTCGAGGAGGCCAAATGTTTGGATTCAAGTCAGGGTACTTTTTTGGAAGTGCATCATTCAGAGGCACCGACACTGGAGCTACTACATAGTGGGTCTTCTTATCTAATCTCCACGTGATGTTGAAGGAACGTATCTTTCCGCGACTAAGGTGCCCTGATAGTTCACCTCAACAAGCAACTAATAATGACCTGAGATTTCATCAACCTCAGACTTTCTCGTTAATAGAAGAAAGATTTGAAGACTCTCCACCCTGTCAGCCATGCCCAGGATTGCCTTCTTAGACTTGTGAGCCATTGCCCCAGATCACCGACAATGACCCTGAGAAGCAACAAGAAGCCAAAGACCATCAGAGCTTGCCAGTTGGCATCTACTCTGTCGAAGCCCGCAATCATCATAACATTTCAGGCGAGCAGCGAAAGCGGGACGGTATGGTTGAAGCTGGAAATTTATCAGCAATGCCCTCGACCATGTCTCATCTCAACGTACTCTCTCAAAGCTTGGTTGACTCGGTTGGCAAAGCGCTGGTCCTCATCGTCACTTTCGAGTGCTTCTGGGCCGAGGCTCTTCTTTTGCGTAGACTCGGCCATTGTTGTGCTGGTTTACGACAAGAAAAGCGACTACCGTAGTAAAGGGCTTTTCTGTAGTTGATGGTAGGCTTGCAAAAGTTGTATCAGTGAACATCCGGACGAGGACGTTGAGGACCGAACCTTGGAGGTCACTTGCCTCACCAGATCCAGCGCCACGGCACATGAAACTTTGCTTGGTGACCTTTCTGGTCACTACAAACGTGGCTGAAGCTGCCTTGGTACGTAATGATGATATGTATTAGGATGAGACTACGATTGATGAGTCCGAATGCCGGGGCAGGTCTGCTCGCGGGATTTTCTGGATATGTCAGGCATTGTTGTCGTCTCAATGCTTCATAGAAAACGATACTCGACCATGATGTAAGAGTGTACTTTGTTGTATACATCTCATTCTCTAAGCACGCTAATTTGGCCAACACGACAACAAACTTACAACATGCACAATATTCTCATGCCCGTCGCACATGGCAAGATTCATCTACAGCCCCCTGATTCCAGCCTCCAAACTCTCCTTGTACCCAGCCCACCCCCGTCCGTAATAGTCCTTCAACAGCTGCTCCGCCTTCTTCGCCGGCACGACCTCCGTCAGGTCATGCCCCTCGTTCTCGTCCGGCTCCGGGATGTTCGCGTTATCCGGCCTCAGCGCACGCAGCGTCTTGAAGACGTCGGACCTGTTCACCTCCTCCGCGAAGCCGAAAATCCTCTGCGACTCAACGTTGTCGCCGAGGAGCGCGATGGCGTGGAGGCGCGCCGTATCGACGACGTCGACGAAGTACTGCGGGACGTACAGCGCAAAAGCCTTGTGATCGCCCTTGAGGACGTCGCGGACCCAGCCCATCGTTGAGCCGTAGATCTCGGGGTGGAGGATCTCTCCCCACTGAAGTTTATTAGTGCGCGGGCTTCAGCGACAAAGGGGGGGGTTCTTACATTGCAGTTGGGCAGGACGGTGCTGAAGACGTAGCCGGGCTTGTTCTTCTCGACCCACTTCCACGCCGCCCGCTCGCCCTCGGTCTTGGAAGCGGCGTAGATGTAGTACGGCTTCTTGTCTTCTGCCAGGTTGGGGTCCCAGGCCGACTTGACTGCGGAGTCGTTCCAGGTGTCTACGACATGTTAGTAAAACGGACATTGGGAAATGTGTTTGGAACGTACTCTCGTCCACGCGGACACCGGCCTTGTTAGTCTCCGGGATCAGCACTGCCGAGGAAGACGAGGTAAGGACGACGCGCTTGATGGCGGGGAACTTGGCTGCGGCTGCGAGAACGGTCTCGGTGGCCCTGACGACCCAGGGGATGACTGCGTTGGGGTCTTTGCTGAAGCTCACATCGGATGCCTTGTTTACTTGTCAGACTTGTCTAGATGGTACACAGTCCCTTGAGACTTACGACGTGAGCAACGGCGGAGACGCCGTCAAAGGCCTTGGCGAGGGCTTCCTCATCCTCAAAGTTGGAGAGGGTGATGGACTCGTACTTGTCCTTGCCGTACTTGCTCTGGAAGAGCTCGTCGAGCCATGGCTTGGGGGAGCGAACGGTGCCGCGGACGCGGTAGCCCTGTTCGAGGATGGTGTTGGCAACGTGAGAGCCGATGTAGCCGTTGGCACCGGTGACGAGGACCGTAGAGCCTTGCGGGAGAGCGTTGAGCTTGGCCATTGTAATTGAGGTTGCGGTGGAGGAAAGTTGAAGCCAGCAAGGTTGTAGATCAAGTATGTGAACGCTGGATTTGTTTGTGTGATGATAACTTGGTATTCAATGCCAGATCCCAACGCAGGACGAAGTCAACTATTTATCTGTTTCAACCCATGGCTTCCCCCGAACCCAAAACTCAATGGAACAGGCCGAACGGACAGTCGATGAACCGCACATCAGACTGGCAGAGCAGCCTGGTACCCACGGTGGAGCTTTGAAATCCATCCAACGCACCGAGATGGGGTCAAAAGAATGGACGAGAGGTATTACTTAGCCCGACTGGATTACAAACAATAGCATTGCCGTACAGACGGCGTTTCTGAAAGGGGGGAGAGAAATCCATGTGCCGGCTATGACGTATTGGGACATGACACCAGGCCGTCCGAAGTTGGCGCGATTTCCTGAACAAGCACATCTCTTTGCGGGAGGTTGAGTTGTGCCGTTGCAATGGTTTGCTTACTGCATAGAGTCTGCGTTTCAATTTTACGACTATCTTCTTTAATGAACCATTGGGCCTAGGTGGGCTTGTGTGACCTTGGATTATCATACACCGTGGAAGTCCATGGCAGTTTTGGGCTGACAAATGGGATGTCGCTTAGATTGATGTTAGCAGTTAAGCCAAACCCCGAGTGAAGACGCCGGAACTCCATACATTTTCAAGGGCCGAACGTCTTCAGAATCTTTGTCATTATCCACGGCCAAACCCCGAGATAACTCATGTCGTGGCCATGTCATGAGTTGGGCGAGAGCACTGGTCGGATTACATGCGAGTGTAACTTGCACGACAACCTGCACATCTACCCACGTCAAAGGACATGGTCGGGCGAATGGGCCAAGACCTAAGGTATTGTGATATTGCTGCATGTCCGGGCAGCGCTATGCTTCAGGGTATCGTCGAATTACCTTTCTAGCATCCTGATCGTCGAAATTTACGCATATTTGCATCTCGCTACGACGGCGAGCTTACCTGCAGCAAAGCAGGCTGAGGTGCCGTGGGTCAATGATGATGACGGAAGACGCCCAGCGATCGAGATGCACAAGATTTGAGCTCTTCACAGCTTGCAGTCACCCCTCAGTGAATTTGAACAGCAGAGGCTCATCCTGATTCTCCCAGAACGTGAGGTAGTGAATGTCGCTTTATTGCCCTTCACGAGCGCTTGCACGTTATTTTTAGAGGCGGGCGGGCAGCCACGGTATGGCGGACCACGGGTCGCTTGGGCCACCGCCCGTCGGAGGAAATATTAGGCGGGTGACGTGCGGCACGGGGGGGAAACTTTGTTTGGGGGAGCCCACGGGGGGGAAGATCTGACTTGAACGGTCCAGGCCAGGCGCTGGATCGCTGGATCGGGGGCAGGTAGCCGACCAGCCGTCTCCAAGCTGGCTTGTGACCAGACAACGTGGGAGTGGGAGGTGTGTTCTGCAGGGAGGTTGAGCAACGTGGCAAGCCGGGGGCTGCAGAAGAGACGACTGCCAGCAGACTGCTGATTTGGTCCTGATGTGGGATGAGAGACGTGACGGTGGACGGGACGAGAGCGCGGTGGGAAAACGGGGGTGGGTGTCTCTGTTTTCTTACGTGTTCAAGGTGTTGTGCATGCATATCGAGGGGGAAGTCAAAATGGGGAAATGGCTCACATGCCAACGGCAGCAAGGCAGCATGGCTGGCGAGCACATGATTATGGGGGGCTGGAATGATGGAGGACTCGGACAGGGGAATAAGATTCAGGGAGAGACATGAGATGAACAAGCAGCCCCTGAGATGGTGCCGGGGGAGGGTGGTACAGCTCGGAATAAGAAACACTGACGGATTCTTAATTCTCTTTGATGTCCCTTTTCCCCAAGGGTCGTGTGCAGGCTTGATTGAGATGCTGGCAGACGACGTTGGTGATGGGGGCGATGTGTGATGGTGTTAGTGAGCTTGTACCATGACCCGAGTGCTGCATACGAGCAGTGGTGATTTGGTGGGAAAGGTACTTGTGGGAGCATCGGTCTGGCAGCATTCGCAGAAGGTGCCCAAAACACCACAGAAGATGTCTAAAGTACCTTACGGACAGACACAGTTGAACACAGCAAGAACAACAAGTGCTGTTCGGGGCTCTATCCTCGTCTGGAGTCGCTCAACAAAACCCTTGCTCAACAGACGCACACAATGAGGATGGGACTGGACTGGAGCTGGCAGATGGCGAAAAAGGGCATCCAGGCCAGGGCACCAATCGAGTCCAGTTGCAAGTGGACGTGGATCTCGGGCGCCCACTTGTCCCAATTTTCCCTCGGGCACCTCAGCCTGGAGGGGTCAATCAGCCAGCAGTGGGAGAAGGAGGGAGGGCAAGGAGGGGCACCTTGAAAATCTCGACCGTGGCCATGGATGGGAAATGGGACGGCATTGGACAGATTTGCAGCTGAGGGCATTCGCATGGATTTTGGGGGACTCTGTGAACCCCTCACCAAGCAGAAAGAGTCGAGGACGCAGTTGGATGCAACGGAAGCAGAAGAAGACGCAAAGAAGACAGAGTCCAAAACAAGGCAGTCAGGTCAGACCTAGAGCAGGCCGAAGCAGCCGTCTGGTCTCACCATTGCTTTTGTTATTTTCTTTTGTTGTCTGCGATCGGGGCTTCTCTCTCGACCTTATCTGAGTCCTCGACGATTAGCCAGGTGCAGGTGCAGGTGCTTTGCCTGTGCTTACCTCAGCTGCAGATGTACCTCTACGTAAAAAAGTGGTGGTGCGATACTTGCACTCGCTATCGCGTGCTCGCTTAAGGGCTACAGCGGCCTGACAAGAGGCTAGAAGCCGGCGGGAAGCAACCCAACCACACCATTCCACGGGCGGTGCACCAACCCAATCTGGACCCGATGCCCCTCACTCAGGGCCTCACTGCGGTACCCAAGGTCCCCCGTCGCTCCAGCTCACCCCGAAATCAAGGTCGAGTGCTGCACACTGCACATGCCGTCGGGAAAAGTGACGGGAGAAGGAAAGGTACTTTGTGCACTGAACGCTCCAAGGCCTCTCGTCGCTCTCGTCCCTCCCCCCAAAGCGATAGCGCTGGACTCGCCTGACCCAGCGATTCGAACCCCTACTGAGCGAAGTCTGTGGCTGCCATTCCAGACTGCTAGCACATCGGACATCAGCAATTAGTGGGAGGGCCTTACCTACCTCAAGTACCTCAGGTACCTAAGCCTTAAGGTAGGTAGGTACCTTCCTCAAGTCCGCCGCTGCGCAAGTTCAGTTCAATCTCGACGACATCGGGTTCCCACTTAACCCTACCTTACCTACCGTACCCAGCCTGGTACCTAAGGTACGGCGATTTCCCAATCCACCTCTTCTTCCCGAACACCACCACCACCACCACCACCACCTCTACCTCTTCCACGCACCCGACGACAACCACGACGACAACGACGACCGCAATCGCAGCACGAGACGGTCGCCTCCAACCTCACGAGCGACGACGGCTCCGGCATCAGCCCGTCCTCTCCATCTCTCTCCTCTATCGAGCCCCGTCGTCCGCCGCCGCCGCCCGCTGTACAACACCCGACTGGACTGGACGCCTTTTCCACTTTTGTACGTGCGAACCCTTGTCCCGTCCCGTCTTCTGCCTCTCCCCGACCACTCGCTGTCTCTCTGCTTCGCCTCGCTCGCTCGCTGCCCTGCTTGCTTCCTGCTGCAGCTGCGAAAGAGGCAGTGTGCGCGCGTTCGGTCTCTCTCGCTTCCTCCGTCTATCTATCTCTCTCTCTCCTGCACTCGCACTATCGTGGGCGACACCGTGAACGGCATCACCATCTTCCCCATCATCATCTCCCGGAAAAAACACGACTGCACCCAGCTGTGGCTGCTGTGCCGCCGTACGTCTTTCTGCTGCTCTGTGCTGCACCCTCAATTTTCCCGCACCTTTTCTTCCCCCTCCATTATCAATCAATCAGCTCCTCTTTTTCCGACCCCGATGCGCCGGCCCCTCCACTCCGCCGGCGACATCACAATTCACCACCTCTTGTTCCTCACCTCAGCCCTCGTCCCTGCTGCATCCGGCTGACACCATCCTTTCGCTTGACCACGTCGCTAATCTCGCTGCCGCCCTCAGCTTACCAGTTATTCCAAGCGACCGATATACCCTGACGAGTTTCGCATGCATTGAAAGACTGGCATAGACTGCATCTGTCCCTCCTTCGATTCGAGTCACCACTTCAACTACCCACCTTGGAACCAGCCTTTGCCTGCCCGGACAGTCGACCGACTTTCGCATGCACAACCGCCGCATTGCCCACCGCTTAACTCTGCTTCCGCTCTGTGTCCATCGTCGCCGCGATCCCTCCGGCGCCGTGACATAGACCGTCTACAAAATCCGCCAAAATGTTCTGGCGATTTGGCGGCTACGCCAACATCTCCACCATCGATACCATCCTCGAGAAGCCAGACTTCACCGTCGAAGACCTGCTCGACGAGAGCGATCTCATCCAGGAGCTTAAGCAGCACAACACAAAGCTTATCGAATACCTCCGAGAGGATAACGTCCTCAAGACCCTGCTCGAATATGTCGTTGCCCCGAAACTAGAGCCCGTCGCCACCCCGGCCGACATCGAAGAACCCAAAGAAGCCCCGGCCGACGAGTCCAAAGGCAAGGGCCGCCTGCTCCCCTTCTCAAGACCCCGCGCGTCCTCTCGCGCCACAGACACCGACAATGAAGAAGAGGAGCAAGAAAAGAAGCGCAATCGCTATGCTTACGTCGCTGCCGAGGTGCTATCTTCCGACACCTGGTCCATCTACGAGGCCTTGATGGAAAACCAGCCCTTGATTCGCGAGTTTTGGCAATTCTTGAAGCGCCCTACCCCGCTGGACCCTCTCCAGGCCAGCTATTTCACAAAGGTCAACGAGGCCCTGTTCGACAAGAAGACGGAAGAAATGGTCATTTTGCTCAAGTCCCTTCCGGATGCCGTGTCAGATCTGCTGCGCCACGTTGAATGCCCCATGATTATGGACCTGCTGTTGAAGATTATTGCTCTGGACCGCACCGAGGGCGGCCAGGGTGTTGTCGAGGTGAGTGTTTCTGGCGGCCACCAGAAGCGACCTGGAACTAACGATGCTCCGACAGTGGCTGTACTCCCAGGACGTCGTGCCTACCCTGCTTACTTGCCTGAGCCCCGAACACAGCTGGGTCGTCCAGACGGCTGCCGGCGATTTCATCAAGGCCATCATCACCATTTCCGCCAACGCGTCACAAAACGAGCAGCAGTGCATCGGCCCCAACGAGCTTACGCGGCAGCTGGTGTCGCAGCCTTGCGTCGAGCAGCTCATAAAGTACATGCTAGGAGGCGGAAACCCGTTGACGGTTGGTGTGGGCATCGTTATTGAGGTAATCCGCAAGAACAACTCGGATTACGACCCCGATGTCGGTACCGAATCCAGCTCCATGCCCTCGAGCAGAGACCCAATCTACTTGGGAACTCTCCTGCGCCTGTTTGCGCAGCACGTGCCCGACTTTGTCAACCTGATCATGAACGCACCCGCTCACAGGGATCGCTTGGAATCCACCTTTGGCGAGAAGATAGAGCCTCTCGGCTTCGACCGATTCAAGACCTGCGAGTTGATGGCCGAGTTGCTGCACTGCAGTAACATGGGCTTGCTCAACGAGGTTGGTTCCGAGGACGTGATTGCGGTACGGGACGCCGAGCGTCAGCGACTGAGGACGGAAGGCAAGCTCTCCCCCAACCGGGGCGAGGAGGCCCAGTCCACCGACGACCTGACCATGCGCATCGGCCACTCATCTCCAGAGGAGGGTCGCCGACTGGAAGTGACCAACATCTCAGATGACGACGGCTTCGAGGAGGTCGAACCCAGCCGCGAAATGAACGAGGATACTTCCCACGAATTCGTCAAGGCCGAGGAGGAGATTCCTGTTGCTGCCCCGGCGTCGTCATTCTTGGATAGAGACGAAGACGATTTCGTGGACGAACCCCTGAGCTCCCCCAGACTCAACGTGGCAGACGACAAAATCAAGGAGCAGAGATTCGATGATCCCGACCTGGTCGTTGCGCCGCTCTCACCCAGCAAGAACAAGGCACCCCTCGGCGAGGAGAGCCCTGCTGCCACGGAAACCAAGATCGAGGAAGAGAAGCCGACGGAGACCGAAGCCAAGACCGAGGCTCCCGCCGCCGAGGAGCAAAAGCCAGTGGAGACTAAAGATGAGTCCAAGGAGGACGCTTCGGAAAAGACTGCGGAAGACGTGACGATTTCCAAGGTTGGAGAGATGTCTTTGGATGAGAAGGCCAACCAAAGCGCTGTCTCGGAAGATTCTAGCCAGAAGGGTGACGAGTCTGACTCCTCTGTCGTCTACACCCCCAGCGCGACCGAGTCGGAGGCCAAGACGGAGCCGGCTGAAACAGCGCCGGCCGCACCCGAACCCCCGATCTCTCCCCGACCGGAAGATATGCCTGCGCCGCTCTTTGCCAAGTCTTCTCCTGCCAAGACGGAGGACAAGGAGGCCGAGTCAGAAGCTGCGCCTGCCCCGGAAGTTCCGATGGCTCCAGAGGTACCCGCAGCGCCAGCACCCCCCGGAGCGGACTCAGACCAGCCGCCTGCCGTCCCTGAGCGGCCCGACCCCAGCACTGTGAAGCCGGTAGTTGGCGACTACCTTAAGCAGCAATTTGTAGAGTATCGCGTTGTGCCCACCATCCTAGTAAGCCAAAGAACCCCAGAAACGCATCAGAATCGAGCTAACGGAAGCAGTCATTTTTCTTCGCGTACCCGTGGAACAACTTTCTCCACAACGTGGTATATGATATCGTTCAGCAGGTCTTTAATGGCCCAATGGACAGGGGCTTCAACCCTACCCTGGCCGTATCGTTATTCGAGGCCGCAGACATCACTAGTGCCATAATCCAAGGCCAGCTCGCTAGCGACGAGTCCCAGGCCAAGATCAAGACCCGCATGGGCTACATGGGTCACCTGACGCTGATCGCTGAAGAGGTGGTCAAGTTTACGGAACGACACCCTCCTGAGCTGCTGTCAGAGACGGTTCTTGAGCGGGTGATGGACCCTAGATGGATCAACTACGTGGAGGGAGCCCTCGCGGAGACCAGAGAGCGTGATAACGCCATTCTTGGTGGTGTCCGACCAGAGGTGGCCCTTGGCAACCGCGCCGGCATGTCTGGCAACGGACTGGCCGCGGTTGGCCTTTCTGGCCTTGGCTCATCCTTTTCCAACTCTGGAGGAAACACCGGGTCAAGCGCCCTGGCCGATGCCGGACTCAACGGCAACATGGACCTGCAGGAGAATAGCGGCAACGGAATCGGACCTTTTGCCATTAGCTCGGGTACTCTCATGTCTGGTTTCGGCAGCTCCAGCGACGAGGAAGACGAAGGTGAAGAAGAGAACGAGGACGACGTCAACAATGAGGTGAGTAATATGCTCTCTGAGCTCCGTGAGATGGAAACTCCCGCGTTGGACCCCTGGACGCAGTCACTCTTGGACAACAACCCCGATTCGGACGAGGAGAAAGACAGTAAAGATGCGTAGTACGCAGATGAAGTTAGAAGGTCCCCTCGCGGTCACGTTTTCCATGAGGACCACGCCTACGCTGGCCATGGCATTGGACTTGGGCTTTTGGGCAATGAGGACGATGATGATGACGAACCGGTTATTGTGTATCGAGATGGCGAGACGGGCGGCGAAGAGGAACCAGATGAGGAAATGAGTATGGTTCGGCCCTCGCTGGATGTCGTGGCGTGGTTTAGACGGAGACTGAACAGAAGCGATATGGATGAGACACTGGAGGAATAGGCAGGACATGTGAGAGCCCGGGTGGTGTTGGGGCGCGTTTTCATGATGGGCAGGGCGGCGAGTAGTGTATAAGCTTTACATGTTCCCCGTCCGTACCGGCGTCGATTCCTTGGGATACCAGGCACAACTGTTGGACTTTTATCCACTCGACCTTTTGGGGCTCACGACAATGACTTGCATCTGGGGAACCATTTCGCGTGCGCCTTTTTGCCAGGACCGCCCAGCTAATATCGCTCAATAGTTCCGGGCTTATACCGACCCATTGAACAACTCATCATCATCTCTTAACCCGCCATCCATCCCGCCACCGCCGCCGCCTCCGCCACCGCTGAACATTCCTCCTTCCAGAGCCCGCCTCCAGCTGGCAGCCCGGCTCGCCATGCACCAGAAGAACAACGCCGCAGCAGCGGCATCGCGTGAGGACGGCGACGAGGACGCCAAGGACGAAAAGAGCGAGGACGAGGGGGAACGGCTCAAGAACCCGTTCGCGGACGACGAGGAAGATGAAGATGCCGACAGCGACGATGAAGATAACGACAGCCATCACGGTTCTGGAGCAGCTGGGGCGGTGACTGGCGCGTGGGGTGCGTCAGGCCGGGGATCATGGTGGCGCGGGGTATCGCGACGGGGCGGCAATCAACGATTCGACGGGCAAGACGACTCGGACGACGAGGTGGACGACGACGATGAGGAGTTTGGGGACTTCGCCATGCCTGAAGTTGACCCGGCGCCGGGATCTGACGGGGACGACAACGTCATCCTGAAGCCTCTTGCGGTGCACCCGCCTGGGTCTGGAGGCAAGGCGTTTGGGAGCCTGTGGCCGTTTGGCAGCGCCAAGGACGGCCAGGACGAGAAGAGCGAGAAGGAAGGCGAGGAGACGGTGACGGGAGAGGATGAGAAGCCTGTGCAGGCGGCCGTGGAGGCGGCGCGGCGGACGAGCATTGAGGAGGCGGATGACGATGAGGAGGTTGTCGTGCAGAAGCCGTCGAGCCTGTGAGATGAATAGATTTCTTTATTCATGTGGGTAGACGGGTCTGCTTGTACTATATGTGTTTTGTTTACGCTGCATGGTTGTAGAGTATGATTGAATGGAGAACACGTTGGAAACGAATCATGGGAGAGTTGTGAGGGGCTATGTTGGTGCTAGACTGTATCTTTGCCTCTATACCAATCCGCTTGAAATCACTCATTGGTTTATCTACAGAGCATGCCTAAATGCTTCCTATTTGGTGACTGTATTCTGACTTCTAACCATCTCTAATGGGGGAAGATTGGTTTCCTCCTTCGTTGTGCACGCAAATGTTTTTCTGCATCGCCATATCCTTAGTACTTGCCCCGCCGGAGCTGGGCCCGAGGCCAGACCGGAGCTCCGGACTGTGCGGGAGCAAACACAAGTCGGGATACCCGTCGTAGCTATTGAAAGACAGGCAAACTTCACGACATCAAACGAACTGGTTCTCCAGCTGAGTCTTTCGATTTTATACCCCAATTGAGGGGTTCCAGAAATCTTGAACGTATTTATGGATGAGGCGAGTGAGCATTGAAAGTCGTGTTTGATCCTCTCGGGGCACTTGAAGGGTCCAATCAGGGGAGCTTGGACACCGCAGGACCCCTGGACTAAACACTTTGTAGCTGCTAGCTAAGTTATGGAAGTCAATGGGGGGTTCCTAGTTCCCCGACTCCGATAAGCGATAAGCCGGGGATGCTGCCGGCCGAGGGGCAACCTCGCTCAGGCGTAACTGAGTACTAAGTGGGAGGAGTAGGAGGAGGAGGAGGAGGAGGCACATGCATCCAACAAGATGCGCACGTCTGGTGTTTTGACAGCAGCAGCATGAACGTGGCCATCCCACCCAGCCCCCTTCCCTGTCCATAACACGCTGCTGCGGGAAAAAAGAAAGCAAACGGGGGACGAGGATGAATAAGGCACAGGAGGGTGCGGGAGCCGTCCGCTCGTCTTCTCTGCTGTCGTGGATGTCGCACAACCTGGCCGACATCATCGTCCGCTTCGTCTCTGTCATCGCCTTGGGCTTCTACGCCGGCATCTATCTTCGCGTGAGTCCACCGTCTCTTCTCTTTTACTGTCTGCCTGTTTTGCTGCAAAAGAACTGCGCCCCGGGCCCGTCGTTGATGGCGATACGGTCCGGATCCTCGGTCTCTTGCCTCTGCCCGCGTCCCTGAGCTTCACTCGTGAAACCAGACGAGACGACCTGCAGAGAAAAAGCCCCCTTTTGCCTGCTTCAACGCACGATGACGCGGACAGCCTCGCGTGGGCTGACTCTTCTCGTTCGTGTCGTCTTTGGCCTTACGTCTACGTCTGAAGTTTTTGGCATCACTAGCTAACCGTCCCTTCGAGCAGGTTCTCTGTCGGGAGCGTCCACCTCCCCGAGTCCGCACGTAGACTACCTTACATAGGTAGCTGCAAACCCCTTTCGTTCCTGTTCCTGGATCCTGAAAGCCCAGAATCGTCCGAGTACCATCCTGTCACTGCATTCTGCATGCAACATACACATACACAGGAAGCTGCCCTCCTTTCCTTGTCCCAGAACCTATTCGCATCGCAGCACACGGTCTCGTCGCCATCTGCGACAACCACCTCCCGCCAAACACCTGGGGAAAGGCCGTTGCCAAGCAGCTGAAGCAGCGCAACCTATAAAGCCATGGCGGAAGGCGAAATGATTGCGCAGACGAACGGGGACGTCGACGACGACTCCCGCCATCCCCAGCAAGTCTACCGCCAAGCGCCATCCCTCATGAACCGCATCGTGTACGGGACGAAGCTGTCCTGGCTGCAGTCCTGGTTCTACCAGCGGGCCAGCTTCGAGTTCTGGAAGACGTATTGGTTCCCCAAGTCGGCGGCGCAGCGGCCGGACCTGATGAAGCAGTACCCCTGCAGACCAAACCTCCTCATCCGGTACGTTTCCCTGTTTCTGCCGTAGTTGTGGGCAAGTCCACTGACACAACGACGACAGCATCTTCTTCCCCTCAGACTACGACCAGACATCCCCGCAGACCCTGCCGACGCTCTTCTCCATCCACGGCGGCGGCTTCTCCATCGGCGTGCCCGACGACGACGACGCCTGGAACCGCACCTTCGCCGACCTCAACGGCGCCCTCGTCGTCGCGCTCAACTACTGGAAAGCCCCCTGGGCGCCCTGGCCCAACGGCCTCCACGACCTCGAGGCGCTCTACCTCGCCGCCGTGCAGGACGACTCGCTCCCCATCGACAAGTCCCGCATCGCCATCGGCGGCTTCAGCGCCGGCGGCAACCTGTCGCTGTGCCTGAGCCAGCTCAAGAGCGTGCGGCACCATCCCACGGCGGCGCCCAAGGCCGTGATGCCGATCTACCCGCCCGTGGACTTCGTCACGCCCTGCGAGAAGAAGCGCCACCGCCGCCCGTACAAGATTGGCATGTTGCCGGGGATCCGCGGGCAGCAGCGGGATTTCGTGCTCGAGTTCGCGCCCGTGTTTGACTGGGCGTACGTGCCGTACGGCGCGAACCTGAAGGACCCGCTGCTGTCGCCCAAGTACGCTGAGAGGGCGGACTTCCCGGACAATGTGTGCGTGGTGGGCGCGGAGCTGGATTACCTCGCGTGGGAGGGGTGGGAATTTGCGTGTAAGCTGGGCGGGAAGAGCGTGACGGCGGCGGTGGTGGGGAGGAAGGAGGTGGCCAAGACGCAGGAGCTCGAGACGGAGGACGAGCGGTTCGGGTGGGAGGTGAGAGATCAGAGGGGGAGCGTGAAGTGGCTGCTTGTGCCGGACGTGATTCACGCGTTTGATATGCATGAGATGGGGGCCATGGTGTCGGACGAGGAGACCATCCGGGACGGGAACGCGAAGGCGGTGAAGGTGATTAAGGTGCTTGGGGAGTGGCTGAGGGGGAGCGCGTGGAAGGTTGAGGGGAGGGTTGAGCAGTAGATGGGTAGGATGAGGTTGGTTGGGATTTCTCGACTTTCGTTCAGGAACTTTTTTCTTCAGGGGAGTTGGTTGGGATGTAGACATGGCGTTTGAATAGCATCATCACCTGGAATTTGATAGAATGAATCTTCACCGAATGATAGTGTGTGTGTGCCTTGCAGGGAGAGATGGCGTTAACCGCCGAGGTGCGTTGGTTGGTCTTGGTAACGCCCCCAATGTGACCTTGGACCAACAAGCTGTGCAGGTGGTTCGTATGTCGAGGTGCATGACGAGCGCATGCTCAGCCGCGTAGTTCGTGTTGGTGAAGATTGTGGGCTGTCTCTGTTGGATGTTGGATGCTGGGTCATGGGTTGGTGGTGTGCCTTGCCTGATGTCCCCTGAGAAGGCGATGCCGATATCTATCCGTTCGATGTGGGGGCGCTTTCGTGCATGACCCAGACCGATGGCGATACTCAGCCGCATGCGCCGTTCCATGGCCGAGAATCTTCGTACAATCCGCCTCGAAGAACGATGGCGATGGACTGGAGACCTTGTGCGGCACCCTCCCACGTGCATAGATCCATCCTTGTGCTGTGATGTTGGTTCCATGCTCAATTTGCTAAGCCCGTTCGCATAAGGTGCATTTGATGATCTGACTTAACGAAATTGGGGGTCACTGACATGGAGAAGGCCGCCTTGCCGAGCTGGCTCATGTCGATATGGATGGGCTATGTGGGTGTCATGGGCACGCAAGCACCGAACCCAGCCCGGTCTCAAGGAGTACATCTGGGAAGGCTCAGTTCTCTAAAGCTTCAGTCTATCTGGAGTGGTCCGGCGGGACCAGGTATGGTCACTAAGTATTGGATTTAGGAAGAATACTCTCTAAGATACATGTAGTAGGGTCAGGTGTTGAGGGTGCTCAAGGCCCTCACGATAAGATCGAGCATCGGTCTACCTTTGATGGATATGAATGGATGCAGTGATTCAAGAGGCCATCAAATATACCTAACATGTTGGAGGGGACCAGGTTCGTTTTTCAGAGACTAAAAGAACAATTGTTCTCGATGTGGTCTGTATTTGGTGAAGAGCAGCAACCCATGATATGGTATGCCTGTAGAGTTCGATTCTGAATAGATAAAGCAAGATCTACTAGAACCCTTTCGAAATCATAAACCATACTGACACAAAATTACTATGTCCCTCTCGCAGCCCGACGAGTCTTTGTCTCACTAACTCGTGGATGATATATCAATATTTTTGACGAGAACGATGATAGAAGACAGCAGAGTAGCCGAATGGTCTTAATGGCCTTTAAAACCCCTCTCCCTCTTCACAATATGTCCGTATAAATACTGCCAGGTGAATAAAGATGATGAAACCGGGGATTCCAACGCTCGACTGCGAGGACTCACGTCAGAAGACTTACAGCGTGGTTTTGAGATGTCAGAATAGTAGAACAAGTTTCCGAAAACTTGGCCCGCTTCCATAAAGGGAAAGGATTTCTAAATGAAACCAAATGACCCTACAATTCAGAAAGCGCCAGTGCAACAGCAACAGAAAGTCTCCTAGATCCTCCCTCTCCCATGTAAGGGGCTATCATGGCCATCCTAGATCAAGAGTGAAGAGACCTGTAGGATGAAGGCGCCAGTCTGGACTCACGTTCAGGGTACAGGCGGCTATCGCGCTCACTTTAGGTAGATGGCAACGTTACTTCACCAAGGATGATCAATAGCTTCAATTATGTGCGTGAACATACTTAGGCTTGTGGACCTCTCAGACGGGCGTTCCTATGTGTGGTCGTACAGCACGTCTGTCCCTGTTAAGATACGCCGGCGAGCGTCATGCCAAGTCGTTGGAACCTCAAACAACTCATTTAAAGACCATCGGGTTCAAAAAGAGCCCAAGAGTGTTTGATCCCTCTTTGTCTATACAAAAACGTTGATGCAGTTGGGCAGAAGTGTTGGTAAAGCCCTCTTGGAGCGTATCAAGCCAAGCTTCCTTCCGACTGACCCAGTGAAGGCCTGCAATCAACAGCAGCATATCGAACCTGCGTGGACATCAAATTGGATGACATCCCATGATGTTTGTTTGTACCCTCGACTT